GCTAAGGCAGGAGGACCATTCGAGACCAGCCTGGGCCACAAAGCAAGCTGCAGGCCAGCCTGAACTGCACAGGGAGACCCTTGTCTCAAAAAGACAAAAAAAAAAAAAAAAAAAGGGGGTAATTTAGAACTAAATCAGGTTCACCAATACATTAACATCTTACATGTTAGCACGCTGGTTGGGAATGCAGCCGTTTCCACAGGAATTACATCTTTTGTTTGTATAATTTGAAAATGATCTTCAACAAGTAAAAGGTGGTTTCTCTCATCTTAGTCACAAGTTCAGGCATGTACCCTGTGGTACAGGTATCTTTCCCAAAATGTGATTCTGGACTACCTGTTTCAGAATCACCTGGATTCCTGGTCCTTACCCCATTTCAGTGTAGGGATCTTTAAGAATGGAGCCTAGGGGCTGGGGATTTAGCTCAGCGGCAAAAGCGCCTGCCTGGCAAGCGCAAGGTCGTGAGTTCGGGTCCCCGTACCAGAGAAAAACCGAAAAAAAAAATGGAGCCTAGCTCAGGGAAGATGGCACACACCTATAATCCCAGCACTCAGGAGGCTGAGGATCTCTGTGAATTTGAGGCCAGCCTGGACTACACAGTAAATACAAGGCCAGCCTAAACTACACAGTGAGATCCTGTCTTTAAAAAACCTCAAAAGAATGAAGCCTAGTAATTAACATTTGTTTTTTCCCCCACTAGTCCTGGGGATGGAACCTAGGGACACTTCACTGAGCTATATCTTTTTTGAGACATGGTCTTACTATATTGCCTAGGCTGGCCTTTAACCTACCTACCTACCTTTCTTTCTTCTCTCCCTTCCTTCCCTTCCTTTTCCTGCAGTGCAGGGAATCAAACCCAGGGCCTTCACACTGACCTACATACCTCCTGATCCCTTTTTTACAATTTTGAGACAGCATTCCACTTAGTCCCTAAATCGCTCAGGCTAGGCTCGAATTTACAATCCTCCGGCCTCACACTTTCCAGAGTGCCGGGATTACAGGTAGGGCGCAGAGCCTGCTGGTACTCAGTGTTCTTTTCAGCATCCCTTCTAGGCATGGATCACTCGGCCCAAACCCAGGAGCCACAGCCATGTGCACATTAGGCAAATGCTCTATCCCTAAGCCACACTCCCAGCATTCTCTTAAGGCTCGTTTTTTTTTAAACGGTACTAGGGATGAACTCCGGGTCTTTGCACTGAGCTACATCCCCAGCCCTTCTGAGACAGGTACTGAACTTGTAATCCTCCCACCTCAGCCTCTGAAGAGTGCTGGATTACAGGTACGAGTCATCATACTGGGCTTACGGCAGCTCTTAACTTGAGAAGCAATGGTACCTCTTTTGATTTAATCATATACTGGTACTCAACTGCTCTGAAACTCACCAAATTTGGTACTCGACAGATTTTTGTTTTGAGGCAGGATCTTGCTAGGTTCCAACCTGCCTCTGAACTTGTGGCAATCCTCCTGCCTGAGACTCCCGAGTGCTGAGATCACAGGCATGCACTACTACACCTGGCTACAGTATATGATGCATTTTGATGTGAAAACTTTGTCTTGGTGCCTAAAGTCAACAGTACTGACTCTGTCCTAACTTGTTACCTTTTAGCCAAAACAACTGCTTTGGTACTTGTCTTTTCCAGTACTCCCTGAATCTCATGGAGGCAACTAACAAGTACCAAGTTATCACTGTACTTTTAAAAGAACTCCTCTAGGGCCAGGGATATAGCTCAGAGGCATAAGCGCCTGCCTGCCAAGGGCAAGGTCCTGAATTCGATCCCTGGTACCAAAAAAAAAAAAAAATTATTCCTCTACGCACACACAGTACATAATTCTACAGGAAAAAAAAGGTAGAAATTTTGTCTTAATATCATAAAAGCAGCTCAAAAAAACTAGTTCAAGTACTAAGTCAGGAAAAATAATCTAAAAATAAGGAGTTACCTGGTCCAATTTACGTTTCAACGTAGATACTTCCTTGGGGTTAGAAAAAGTGATATCCAATCCAGGTGAGATAGCATAGATGAACTCGATCTCATATTCTCGTGCAGCAGAGATGAGAGTCATGAGTTGCTCTAAAGAACAGAGTCCATGTTTTTAGAAAGTAGGACAGAAAACTGAAAGAACCTTCACTTTCCAACTAAAGAGATCATTTCTTCCAACTTTATAAGAAAGAAAAAGTTCCTTAAATTTTACAAAATTATCATGTCCAATATGACAATAGGCCATACAAAATGACACAAGCCTGAAGTGATTTAAACTCATATTAACAGAAAAAGAACACGTTTCCCATTTTTTATTTGAATCAGCAGAAATCAAGAGCCCCTTCTTTCTCACTTCCAAATAGTTTATCCTTTTTCAGAAAATGAGCGAAAATAAAGTATTTCATTGCCTTTTTTCAAAAATACTGGGGCTGAGCTTGGTGGTGCATGTCTGTAACGCCAGCTCTTTGGAGGCTGAGGCAGGAGTATCACCAAGAGCTCCAGGCCAGCAGGAATTACACAGCAAGACCTTGTCTCAAAAAACAAACAACCCCTAAAGTACTGGGTTGTCAATTCTCTACTGAACCATTTCTGTATAATGTTTGAAAGATATAAATGCTATTTTTTTGGCTGTCTCAACAACTGAAATTCCTAACAATAACAACAGAAAATGTTTTTCTTAGAACTAGGATTAAGTGATGACTATAACAATCCATCATTATAAAAATACTCATTACAGACTTTAAACCTTTTTTTTTTTTTTTTTTTAAAGATAGGGTCTATGTAGTTCAGACTGGATTTGAACTCAATTTGTAGCCCAGGCTAGTCTCAAACTCATGGCAATAATCCTGCCTCATTCTCTGAGGTGCTGGGATTACATGCGTGTAGCCACCATGCCCAGCAAGCCTTTATAATATAGACATTTTTCCTAAATAAACTGAAACACTATAAACATGTACTAATACAAATTTAGAAATAAAAGAAATTGTCAGATGCACGCCTATAATCCCAGCATTTAGGAGGCTGAGACAGAAAAATCACCAAAGTTCAAGGCCAGGCTGGGCTACATAGTGAGTTCAAGGCCACCCTAGACTACATAGCAAGACCCCGTCTCAAAAAACAAACAAAAAAATAAAAAAAAAAAAAATTGAAACATGACTATATATGAATGACTCTTTGAACAACATTCAGTGATCTCAAGTCATCTATGTTTTGATTACTGATCATACTAAATTTCATCACCAGCCCATCAGGAAATAACTGTTAAAAGTACACTTAAATTACACAGAGCAGTAAAGAACAACACATCTAAACAAGAGTAAATTTTAATTACTTCATAATTCTTTTTGATTTTTTGAGACAGGATCTCACTATGCAGTTCAGGCTGGCCTCAAACTCAGTGATCCTCTTGGTTCAACGACTGTAGCGCTGGGCTTATAGGCACCACCAGGCCTGGCTTGCTTACTGAATTTAAGTTTCTGCCTTCAGTGTATTGGCTGGGCCCTGCAGCCAAGTACTATACATTGTTGTACATACTGTTTAATTCTAAGTATGAAATCTTTCTCCATTCACTGAGTCCCTATAGAAAAGCTCCTCTTTTTTGATTCACAAGAAGAGTCTCTGATATACTTCTTTATAAACTTTTTTTTAGTAACCAGGGATCGAATCCAGGGCCTTCACACTAAACTACACCCCTAAGCCTGTTTTTTATTTTGACCAGGGTCTCACTAAATTGCCCAGGCTGCATGCAAACTTACAATCCTCCTGCCTCAGCCTCCCAGAGCGATGGGGTTACAGGGGTGTGCAACTATGCTCAGCTCATAATATTTATTATTTATCTCAATTACTTATTTGGAGTGCCTTACCATTTATACTAAAGCTAGGTGCTTCAGGTGCTTTGCCCTACCTCTCCCTGGCTGAAGCAACACTTTCTAAGTGGCCACTGTGCAGATCACTGGCAGAAGTAAAAGAATATCATCTATGACCATGGAACAGGTGAAGTTAGATTGGCACACCCATGATTCACACTTATGGCCATGATGACCTTAGTGCCAGTCTTTCAGTCTATAGTAGCTCAAAAAAACTAGTGTAGTTACCAGAGAAACAGAAATTATTAAGTGAAAATGAAATAAGAATATTGTAACTATAATATAGCTTTTTCTTCACATACTGAGTTTATGGATTAAAAAGAAAAAGATTACCAGCTTCCTCCACTGAATACATCTCCCGCCAAAACATCCTATGCTTGTAGTCATCTTTTGGTGCATACAAGTATGTATTTAATTCCCATTTCTGGAGCCTTAAAGGAAAAGAAAATTACACATACATAAAAACAGGAAATGTTAGTAAGTTATAAATCTTAAATCTTTTTGGAGCACCTCCATTTCACATAAAACTAGTAACATTTAAGAACAGTACCTCTTAAGCCAGTAATCAGTGGGAGAAAGTATTATGAGGTATGCTAACATATTGGTATCAAATAAAAGCACAACTCTGGGTGTGACAGCTGAACGCCAAAACCTATTCAAGCTTCCCCAGAAAAAAGTATGAAAACCACTGGCTTAGGTGAAGAGCAGGTAAGGGCCAAAGTCAAGTCAGTTCTGTAACTGAAAAATCATCAACTTGTACCAGGGATATTCAGGGTCAGTATTTCTCTAAATGGAAATGTTACAACTTTTAGCATACTTCGTATAATAAAAATTTACCTTCTAAAAAGTTCTTTTCTCTGTTCCATAACCCAGGGTCTTCCATAAAATCCTAGATTTCAAGTAAGAATGAAATTAATTTCTTTCTAGTTTGAAAATATGCTAAGCTTTACTGAGAAACATTACTAAACATAAAACAATCTCGTTTTGTAAAGAAATGCAAAGAAACACACCAAAACCTAAACAATATTTAGTAAGACATTCAAGTTTTGTTTCTTTAATCTATGAGTAGTGAAGTTATAGGCAATTTTTATTTCCTTTTTTCCTCGGGTAAATTTTCTTATTTTTCTACCATAACATTTATTACTTAGGAGAAAGCTTTTTAAAAACACATAGACTTACCTCTTCACTGAGAAATATAGTTAAATCATTTCCTTCCCCAATTCTGGGGACAAACCCAAGGCCCTAGACAAGTGCTGTACCACTCTCTGAAGAGTATCTCAATCTTACAAGATGGAGCCAGGCATGGTGGTACAGAACTGTAATCCCAGCACTGGAGAGGCTGAGGCATGAGGATCATCGTTAGTTCAAGACCAGCCTGGGCTACAAAGTGAGTTCAAGGCCAGCCTGAACTGCATAGCCAGACCCTGTCTCAAAAAGACCAAAAAAAAAAAAAAAAAAAAAAAACTTACAAGATGAAAGAAAACAAACTAGTAGTAATAACAAATGATACCTAGGAGGGGGAGTTAGATTGTTTCTAGAGTGATGAGATGAGATAAACAAGGTAGTAAAATCAGGGACAGGATTACAAAAGAAAAACTAATTTATTATCTTTTTTTCTGTATTGGGGATTGTGGGAGCTCACCAATGCTAGGTAAAAGCCCTACCACTTAGCTACATCCTCAGCCTTTTCAAAAATTTTACTTAGGCTGCTCTCCAACTTTTTATCCTTCTACCTCAGCCTCCTGAGTAGCTACAATTAGTCTAATGCCACCATACCCAGCAATGACTACCTTTGTAAAAAATTCCTGTTAGACCCAGGTGTGGCGTCCTGTGCCTGTACTCCCAGCACTAAGCAGGGTGAGGCTGGAGGATCACCAACTGAGTTTGAGGCCAGCCTGGGTTATGAAGTCAGTTCAAGGCCAGCCTGAACTACCTGTGAGACTGTCTCAAAAAAAAGTTCCTAATAAAACAAAGGGACAAAAAGAAAAAAGCCTACCCGGTACCGGAGAAAAACCAAAAAAAAAAAAAAAAAAGCCTAAGACCACCTTCACGACAGATTTAACAGTGAAACTGGCCTAAATAGCAAAGTTAATCCATATTAATTCCACAATAAAGAACTGAACTGGAAATTTAGGAAAGCGCAGGCAGACACTGCGAATAAAAGTATTCTAACCATGAAAATGCTTCCCCTCTCAAGAGCCCCAATCCCCAGGCCAAATGACTACTCTGTAAGGAAAGACTGATACAGACCAAAGAAAAGCTCATTATGTACCAACATATCAAATTGTAGCACTGTCAGTCCTGACAATTCAGTATTACCTTCTTGCAGGTGATATTATTTACTTAGTTGTACTGTACGGGGTATGAAAGCCAAGGATCGTCTACCAGAGCTACATCACTAGCAATTTTTTTATTTTGAGACAAGGTCTTGCTATGCTGTCCAGGCAGAACTTGAACTTGGGATCCTCTTGCCTCAGGCTCCCTTAGCACTGACTACAAATGTGCATCACCCGGCCAGGCTTTAAAATATTGATAGTAAAACTCACACTACTTTTGCTCTTAAAAGAGTAGGCATTAAAGATCCCTTTAGAAGTACTCCAACATAGTTTTCCAAGAGTCTAACTTCAACCTTCAGAAACTAAGTTTGCCTCTCCACAGTCCTGCTTAAGATTTGGTTAATCTGCATCACAAAGAGGAAGTAGTGTTAATGCAAGAGTTAAAATCAACAAAGGTTTGTGAAAGCAAGAAACAAAACGGAATCCCAGCGGGTAAGGACAGCATTTCCGATCCGCCCTCCTTTTAGGAGTGATGCCAACCAAGAAGCACTACTGAACAAGCTCGTAAATCTGTGCCGGGTCAGGCGCTCAGTCACCCAGGAAACAGTTACGTGGACAAGGGAGAAAGGTAACCACGCCTTAATAGAGTTAACATACCTTTTAATACTATTCCAGCAAACCAATTTAAACCACAATAAGCTTTCTTTTATAATTACTGAGGATATAATGGTCTGGCAAGTTTCCTTAAACCCACTCCAGTCTAGCTTTGAAATTTCTGTATTCTTCAGCACTTCTTCCTCCCCCACCACCCCTCCCAACTCAGACAATACATTCTCTTTCAAAGATCGGATTTAGCTCAGCGGCACAGCGCCTGCCTAGCAAGCGCGAGGTCGTGAGTTTGATTCCCAGTACCGGAAATAAAAATAAACAAGATCAATAAATACATCAACAAGTCACACAAAGCAATCATCTTTTCATAGCCCAAAACATCTTCGCCTAAATTCTGCCAGGTTATTTTGCTGAACTGCTTCAAGCCTTCCTGTGCCTACACAGTATGTTCTCCCCCAAATTAAACCATCTTAAAAACCACAGTCGTCCATCTTTCAGTACAATCTATCTGTATGGCCACAACCTGGAAAAGATATGCTCAACCAAAAGCAATTCTTCTTTCCTCTTTCCAGGTTTTAGTCTTGCACAAACACTAATTTTTATATTTTTATCCACAATAAGAGAACTAATTAGACAACCAAAACGCTGTATTTCACAAAATTCAAATAAATCCTACACTCAGAAAAGAACACTGACGATTGGTGCTTCCACAGAACGCTGGGTGGGGCGACCTGTCCATTCACACCGAGAAACTCTAATAATCTGGGAATTTTCCTTCGCTGTGAAATGTTCATCGTACTTTTACCGCAAATGGGGAGGAAAGAGAGTATTTTTAAACCTCTTCGGTAGTCACCAAATTCGAATCCCATATCCTGAATATTGGAGAGTATTAGTCAAAGGCACATATCCCCCCAAAAGACTAGTACAGTACAGTAGATGGGGAAGACCATACAGTTTTCTAAGTTACAAATGACTCTTTAAAGGGGCAGAGCAATTTAATGGCCAATAAAAAATTTCTAAGCAAGTAGGAATTTGTAATACCATAGGTCAACTGCTCTTTTTCAGACGTAGGAACAAGCCTGTGTGGGTTGATTCTTTCTTTCCCCCCTCAAAGGCTGGGCAAAGCCGGGTGTGGTGGGGCACGCCCGTAATCCCAGCACTCAGGAGGCTGAGGCAGGAGGATCTTTGCGAGCTCGAAACCAGCCTGGGCTACAAAGTGAGCTCAAGGCCAGCCTGAACTGCACAGCAAAACCATCACAAAAAGACTGCCCCCCGCCAAAAAAAAAAAATAAGGCTGGGAAAAGAAGCAGTACACGCAAGCATTCTTTTTTTTTTTTCTTCCTGACTACTGGACATAGAACCCGTAGCCTTCACACTGATGGCCCTGACACAGGTCTTGCTAAACTGCGCAGCCCGGACTGGAACTTGTGACCCTCCAGCCTCTGCCTCCCAGAGCGCTAGGATTACAGGCTTGCATCACCACGCCCGGCATATTACTTCACTGGACCGCACACAACCCTAAATAGGATCCCGAAATACAAAACGTAACACCCAGAGCCTAACGAACAGCAAACTCCTTACGACGGCTTCCTCCACGGCCGGCCTGGGTCCGGACTCCAGCCGGGGGCGGTCAGGAGGCTCGCTGGCGGCCCGAGGGGACCACCCGACCGCGCCTCCCCTGGCTCGGGCAGCGCCCACTGCAGACCCTGGGGTCACCACCCCCTGACCCCGGGCCGGCGTCCGCGGCCGGCG